CCCCCCCCCCCCCCCCCGTCAGGGAACATAGCCCCTCCGTCGGGAAATTCCTGGCGCCACCACTGGAATGCGTTAGGGGTTAGAGGTTAGGGACAGTGCTCTCACTTTTAAGGAATTATCCTTAAGGGTAGGAATTTTGAAGAGTTTTAAGGATTTTTTTAAGGAATTTAGGTTTTTGAAGATTTTTTTAAGGAATCTCCGAAACATTTAATCCTGTACTAAAAATGTTGGACGGAGGATAACCACGCCACGCAAATGAGATTTAAACTTGCATATACACGCTCATAATTACATATATTTGTATGTTATCTATGTCGTAAATGTACATATGGCTGTCTTTCCATCAAAATTCTCAAAAGTTAAATGTCAGTATATGCTGTTTCTTCTGAAATCTACAGATTTAATTTCTAAATTCTCAGGGCCGTAGCGACCGGGGGAGGGAGGGAGGGAGGGTGCAACACCCCTAATATTGATCATGAACAATTTCAGGTAGATTTCCTGTAGATTTTCAGTTAAATTCAAGTAATTCTTAGAATCTTAGGGCATAAAAAGTGAACTGTATAATCTGAATTAACAATCAAACAAACTAAAGACGTTGAGATGTGTTGTGGCAGGGGGACAATTGCAAAATACCCTTTCTGACAATCTGGAGACTCCAAATTTCCAAAATTCTCTCAATTGCCCATTAAACTGAAAGTAGCAATACTTATCTTCATTGTTAGGCAATACTAAAATATTAGGTAGGAAAGACTCTAAAAATGCCATTTCCGACGGTCTAGAGACTTTGAATTTAAAAAAATACGGTTTTAATTAAAAAGTAAAGTAAATCAGGTGAAAAAAACACTTTTTGCAACTATGTGATCAGGCCTTGTAGTAATTTTACCTCGATTTTACATCAAAATTCTTATTTACTTTTATCATAAGGAAAGCAATGGAAAGACATTGTCATCTGTTAAAATCATGTATAAAAATCACTCACCGCCGCAGAGCCTTTACTTTCACACAAATATTTGTTAAATAACATATTTATAATCCCATATTACCACTATTATCCCCCAGTCACCATTCAATTATAATGAAAAATTGTTAAAAATAATGAAAAAGTTCAGATTAAAATTAAAATTTATGCCTGGAAAATTTAAGAGAGGAGAGTGTTCAAAGATACTAAAGTAGTTCTTCACTTCTAAAAAGCTTTAATTCATGCATGATCACAGCTGGAAAAATAAGACTCTCTTGGTCAAATAGAGGGAATATGCTAAACCTGAAAATATATGCTTGTTTTGTAATGAATTACTGTAAGGGGTACATATGGGGCCGGGGCCCATATGAGGGTCCATAATGGGGTCCATGTGGGGGTCCATAAGGGGGTCCAAATGTGGGGGTCCAGGTTTTGTACCGACCCGTGCCAGTATTGTATTGTATATCATCTAAATCTAATATTACCCACTGCCAATAACGCAAAGGTAGGCAGCCATGTTGGTAGTGGGTAATATTAGATGATCTATACAATACAAGGCGGGTTCAACGAAATGGCCTGAAAATCTACGAAAGTGAAGTAATGACATAGTAAACAAGTAAGTCCACCAATGTTGTGAATCAATGCGTATTTAGGCATTTTTTACTATTTTACAATATATAAAGTGTATATTATATTAAGTTGCATTCTCACAATGTTTTTTATATCATTATACAGGCCTGCAATCTGGCCTTGTTGTCCGGCCAAATTTTACCTTTTGCCCGATCAAAGCTTTTTATGACCAGACATTTGACTGACTGATTTAGGCTAATCAATTCTCCAATCTCAAAAAATTGTTTATTTAACACATTTTTTGTTAATAAAACCAACAAGAAAGCTACTGTACATATATAGACAGCACTTCTCCACTATTTCTTGCTGCTGTAAGATTTAACAAGACGCCTGCTCAGGCGTTCACACTGACCTGAAAATGACGACATACGAGCTACGGTGCAATAGACAAGAATACAAGTCGTGAACCGCAGACGCAAAGCGTGAAAGGCTAAAAGCGTGCCGTGATTCGCAGGAGATGTTTTCGTAATGCCCAATAAACACACAAGTATTACTCACAAATACAAACGTTATCCACGAATGCACATGGTTTAGCTCTGAGCATGCGATGCGCTAACACAGACAACATTGTTTACATTCCGTGAGTCCGTATATTAAACGTATAAAATTCGAAAAACTCAGCGATCCAGATATTGCATTTCCAGAGACGTTGCACGAAAAAAACCCAACCAGTCAACTTCCGAGGAAGTGCAGTTTGAAGGTAAAACATCTTCAGTCGAAGTTAAACCCCTACGATTTAAACAGCGCGTTGTTTTGATGTACGGTACGCTCTATGGGACGCGCTAAAAATATAAATATTCTGTAAATACCGAAATAAAAGATGAAAATCTGAAGTAAGACACAAGCTTGAAAATAACACTATAAATAGTGTTTTGGATTCTAATTCCATTAATACTATTACGAAAAAGATATGTCCAAAGGGGCCGAAGTTATGTTCGACGAAATGTAGGGCTAGTTTACATTGTTCATTATATTATGAAATATGATACCATACCTTACTTGTATTAAAATTCGCATCGAAGTTAAAAGTAATGTTATTGTTTGACGCAACAAATCTTCAGTAACACAATAAAATGTATGTTTCTTGTAGTTATCAGTAGCAAGTAAATGTTTTCGCGTTTTGTATAGATGTATTGTCTGAGGGTAAAACGTCTTAAGTCGATCAGTAGCAGGTTTATTAACTTTGGACCCATCACGGATGTCGCGCCATTGACTGTACATTACGGATGCGCGAATGACTATATGTGTATTGCATATGATACAAACACATTGAGTATACAATTCTACTCTGCGCATACAATATTTTGTAGTCAAACTGTCAAAACTTTAACTTGTCCTTGTTTATATTCCATTCTATTGTATAAATTCGCGGGGTACAAATCCCGTACAATATTACAAAGAAACGGTGAAATGCTAAAAGCGTGGCGTGATCCTCAGCAGATGTTTTCGTAATGCCCAATGAAACACAAGTATTACCACAAATACAAACGTTATCCATAAATGCACATGGCCTCTGATGGATATAGGGACTCAGGAGGTCTGGAACTGGTAATTGTGCGCGTGCGTACAAGTGTATGGGCTAATAAAGAAAGATGTACCACAAGCATGGCATGAGCCGGCTACTACGTACATAAATACGGACCTTGTTACTATGAAAACTAAATCAAGCAGTCGAGGAATCGAATGGCATTTGAATCGATGGCATTTTGGATTAATCGTCGCACCCTGAGCCTGCGATGCGCTAACGCAAACTCCATTTCTCGACGAAAACAGAAAACAGAAAATTAGGGATTTAAGACACTTGACCTTTCAGGTCAGTGTAATTATAAATCTACATAACCTTTGTATACATGGTAGAAATTACAGTTATGTATAACCTGAACCATAATTTACTGATGCATTAATAGGACTGGTAGATATATACTAAGTTTTAGATGTATCGCAGTGTGGACTAACATGACCAGGCAAAAAAATACATTGCTAATTTTCAGAACAAAATATGAAAAATTTTACTTTGTCCATTGTCCGGGAAAAATTGATAAATGTCCGACCAATTTTTGGCTTGGCCAGACATTTGTCCAGTCCTTCCAAGTAAAATAATTATTTGCAGGCCTGCATTATATCAAACTAAAACCACCCCCAAATCACATTGAATACATAAAGGAAACTAAGTAAGTTAATTGTAAAGTAAATAAATTTGTAATGCAAAATATAATAAAATAAAAAACAAATAAATACCCACACAGAGTCTGCATGGGCCACCTGTGATTTGTGTTTACAGCATCTCCGATCCGAGTTCGCCGTTTCGATTTTTCATCTTGATGTTTGGGACTGATGTTAGTCTATACTCAAAAATTTCATGATGTTTGGACATGGAGTTATTACAGCGTTTTGGAAAGTTAGTTTTTACTATACACTTGACTAAAATGTTTTACAACACAGTTTTTACTAACAAAGTGACTAGTATATGACTGACAGCCAGTCACGGTTATATAAAAACTAAATGACCGGCAGTCAGGCATGCATTTATGGTTTAAGTCAAATTTTAAAAAGTAAACTAACCCCAACCCTTAATTCCCTAACCCGTAGAACTCGAAGAGAGTTAAAACTAGTCAAGAAGAAAACGTTAAACTAGTTTTAAGTGAAAATGCTAACGCAAATAGAATTACATCCTGAAGCATTATCGAACCCGGGAACTAGAACGTAACAGTCGCACATCCAACCTTCTGAGCTGCTGTCAAACTGTATTATTATGGTATTGGATCATGATGCCACTGTCGATATAAGTTAGCCCGTAAAATACCGTTAATTAATTCAACTGGTCAATAAAATTCGACAGAAACTCAACATCTTAAACAGGACTGTGTCTTTGTTCCATTATTTGAATTTGCGATGCTTCATTGACAATTAGCACAAGTATTGGTCATTTATACAAAACGCAAGACAAACACCAGTTTGTTGTGATGTTATTATATATATAAACGGGTTTAAAGGAAACATTAAGAAATAGCGGGTGTTAAATTTTGTTGGCTGATTAGGTAAGTTATTATTTTATGATGGGAAGGGTACATATTTGTGTGTGTATTTTGCACACATACTGTAATGTACAGTATCAATCGAATGCAGTCTGTAACAATATCTATAATTGTACAGTGTTCAAAGTGTTACTCGTAGTCGACTGCTGCGTGTGGGCTATTTCCTTGACCCCCATTTTAAAGAAAACTTGACTAAGACTAATTAAAAAAAGTTTCGTCCGAATATCCTGAAAAAAACAGTGGAGCAGAATTTGTTGCATGTTGAATTTTAAAAAGTTTTAAATCAAGTTTGATATAGGCTTTGAATATTATATCAAATGCCAATTGTTGAATTGCTCTTCCTTAATTTTGTTGAGAAACTTCTTTAGTAGTACAGTGCACCTTAATAGACTAAGTTGAAGGCATAAAAGTTTATGTATTTTAAATAATTTAGCTGGACGACCACGAGGAAAGAACGTTTATCATGGTGAAGCCTGATGGTGTTCAAAGAGGTTTAATTGGAGATATAATAAAACGATTTGAACAAAAAGGGTTTAAACTGGTTGCCATGAAATTTGCACAGGTATTTGTGTATTTATTGGGCCTTTGAAGCTTTGACATTGATAGTTTATTGAGTACACCTTTTACACACTGACGACAGCTCTCACTAGCACTACAGATCCTTACATGGTCACCAATATTTATTTAATTGACTTTGATTTTACATTTAATTCAATTTCTATTTTTGTTTGTTTGTTTTTATACCAGCCAAATAGAGAACTTTTGAATAAACACTATGAAGATTTGAAGAACAGACCTTTCTTTCCAGGACTTATAAAGTACATGGTCTCCGGACCTGTTGTTGCAATGGTGAGATGTAGGACTTTCACACTTACACCATGCCATTTGAAGAATAATTATGATTAATGTAACACCAAATCCAAATGTGTAGCGCAGTGTAATAGCTGTTAAAGTTATGTTTAACTATTTTATATTTAGGTCTGGGAAGGTAAAGGTGTTGTGAAGACTGGACGAGTAATGCTTGGCGAAACTGACCCGGTATAATGGGCTGTAATGTTTTCTTTTTTAATTACATATAATATATATATATATATATATATATATATATATATATATATATATATATATATATATATATATATATATATATATATATATAATATATATATATATATATATATATATATATATATATATATATATATATATATATATATATAATATTTATAAAAATATGTGTGATGCACCGTGCAGGGCATGCAGTAATAATATGGAATGTGTGCATCAAACAGCTCATTCGTCCAGGTTATGACTTGCTTCTGTATTTAATGATATTTGATGGCATTATTTTTTCATCCAGGCAAAGTCGCTTCCCGGAACAATCCGTGGAGATTATTGTATTCAAGTAGGAAGGTAATGTAAATCTACATTTATGTATTATTTTCAACACTGGCTTTTTATAATTAACTGCACGAGGATGGCAACGAACTTATTTTTATTAATCAAATTATTAAAAGAGTGTCCAGTGTGAAACTTCTCGTTTCTTTTTGTAAGAAAATCAAACATAATAGCTATAACTGTGTCTGTTACGGGAACTAAAAAATCAATCCGTATATATAACAATAGAAAATATCCAGTTTGGCGATTACGTAGGTGATGTTTTTATCGACGGTGTGAATGTTGTATACAGTGCTGTCTAACTAAATTTAGACAGCACTGTATACATATATAACTAGATTTGACGAGCGTGAAGCCGTGAAATCGTGACGTCATACGATGACGTCATAGATGTTTGAAAATACAGAGCATAAATGCATAATTATATGAAACATTAAAACAAGATAAGGTATCGATTTATTAAGGACACCATTTTAGTAATTTTGATTCTACTTCATGAAAAAGTAGTCAGGTTTTGTTTAATAATGTTCTTATTGTTCATCCCTCGTCATCGTTGGTTAAATCGATTCAAAATTGTCCAAATATACAAAATATTATCAAAATATGAGTATTAAGCTGTTATGAGGAGTGATTTGGAGACTTTTGGGCAAAATAATGGCAAAAAGAAATAAAGAACAAATTATACGAAAAGTTGAAGAGAAGAGAATTTTACCTGGGAGCGGTCCATGTTATTCAACTAATATCTCCACTACAACATGGATTTCTGAGAAAGCGTTCATGTATAACACAACTGCTCTCAGTACTTCACAACATTGGTCAAAATCTTGACAATAACACCCAGTCGGATGTTTTGTATCTTGATTTTGCCAAAGCATTCGACTCGGTTGACCATCAAATACTTGTTGAGAAACTAAAATGCTACTGCGTGGCTGGACGACTCCTGGACTGGTTCACTGACTACCTGAACGGTCGAACTCAAAGGGTTGTGATCGACGGTGCTGTATCTCAGTGGGTCCCTGTTACCTCCGGAGTGCCTCAAGGAAGTATCCTGGGTCCCTTATTATATTTGTTATATTCATTAACGATCTCCCTGAAATTATTCCAAATGGAACCAATACAGCACTGTACGCGGACGATACCAAATTACATCGAAACATCTCGTCTCTGACTGACTGCGAGGGTTTACAGCAAGCCCTCAGCAACATCAACATCTGGAGTCAGCAGAGCAATATGAAATTCAACAGCACAAAATGTAAAGTTCTCACCATTACACGCAAGCAAAATCCTGTGGTTTACGATTACCAACTTGGTTCTGCCATATTAACCCGCGTTCAGCAAGAGAAAGATCTTGGAGTTACTATATCGTCCAAACTCACCTGGCATCATCACGTATCTGCAATTGTTGCAAAGGCAAACAAGTTATTAGGTCTTCTTGAGAGAACTTGCCCACTGTTATAGCTGATATTCAAGTGAGACGGACATTATACTTAACTCTTGTCAACTGTCAAGTCACAGTTACGTTATGCTACCCAAGTTTGGTCCCCGGCGCAGGACATGCTCAAAGCCAAGCTTGAAAGAGTACAGAGGCGAGCTACCAAATGGATCTTCGGTTACAAAGGACTGCAGTTGCTCCACTTATTGCCTTGATGCTACGACAGAGAAATCAAAGACCTAACCTTTTTCTACAAGGCCCTATATGGGTACATCGACGTGAACGTCAATAAATATATTGCATTTATAGGCCATGGCCGCACCAGACACAGCCAGATTCCTTTAGTTATGAAAGCTCCACGTTGTAAAACAAACGCTTTTCAGGCATCCTTTTACAACCGGATTGTCAAACTCTGGAACACTATTTACAAAACAGCTCCTGTGCATGGCTTTTCCAACATCTCGTCATTTAAACAATTACTTAAGCAAACCGTGAGCAAACATACCTGACTTTATTCAATGCATCCTTTGACATAGACTTCCCATGCACATGGACACTGTCTCGTGACTGTCCTTGCCATTGAGAATTGACTTTACATACAGTATACAATTTAGTCTTATGTTGACCTATGTTATTTTAACGTTATCGGGAAGGCGCCTCGCATGGGTACTTCAGTCCCGTTCGCGCCTTTGCCGATTGGTTATTTTCAAATGTATTTGTACATATTTATAAATATTAACAAATAAAGTTGTAAGTAAATATTTACATTGACCT